CATTTGGGAAGGAAAGGTTGATGGCAGGTGCGAGGCGTTAACGTGAAGGTAGAAGGCAGAGTTGTCTAGAGCGTGAGTGCGGCAGCTGCAGGGCAACCCATAACTTATTTTGGGGGGACTTATGCATCAGTTTAAGATAAATTTAAGAGACATATTTCTTAAGCACATCCAAAGTCTCTGGACAGCTTACCAGAATGGACTATAGAAGGTATTGTCTCATCGTAAGTTCGAACTTGTATTGGAAGAAACAAATATTAGTGGGTTTTCCATTAAGCAGTAATCGTAGTGCAGTGGAAAGTTTTGCACAGCACCAGGTGAGTTTGTGAAAGTGCTTCTCTTGCAGGACTGAAACTTGTTTCACTGAGATTTCTGTTAATGCTGAGGTTTTTGGTTGATAATGCTCCCTGAGAAGCACAGCTGTACAATCAGGGCACTAATTCTGGCACAGGTTGTGTTTGAGGAGCTGGCATAGGTTAGCCTTGGTAAGAAATGAAATTGGCTTGCCAGTGAGAGATGAATTTGAATGTAGCTTGTGTACTGTGTTATTTTACTGAACTATTCTGGATTTTGTTCCTGCTTTTGAGTAATTTAAATACCTTCTGAATCCTCAGAATATAACTATCGAACATTGTGATTTTCTTAAAATGTGCTTTTGCTCTTCTGTGAGAGATAGTCTTCACGTGTTTCTCTGTTCTTCAAAGCCAGGATAAATTTCAAGGGCGGATGACAGAACCAACCAGCCTTCCTGCAGGTGCGGATCAGACACAGAAAAAAGAGAGTCTTGTGGTGCAGCCGATGAAGTGTGAAAAGGCAGTGGGTGTGCCTTCTCGTGAACTTGGTTCAGCAAATGCTGCTGCTGACCAGAAAGAGCAGTCTGCGTCGGAAGTAAGAAGAGACTCTGTGTACAGAAGTACTGGGAGACCTGAGAAGACAGATATGATTAAATTACTTGTGACAGATCAGGATGCATCTAGAAACTGTGAACTGTATCTACCTGCGTCTAGTAATTTTTCGGCAGTGGAGTCATATGAGGACAGGTGAGGATTTCTATTCATGAAAGTGAGTTTCTTGGCAAAATTTCGTATGTGTTACTGTCTTAGTGAAATAGGTCTAAATGCCAAATCTCAAACGTTGAAGGCCACCTTCACCCTTTGGATAAATTGCTTATTTTAATAGTTTATTAGTGGTCTTCTTTCCCACATCTCAGGCTATAACTGATGCAGCATTAAGCTCTTAAGGGTAGGATGCAGAGTGTGGGAAACTAAGACTTGAAGGCAGATGCTCTGGTGGCTTTGTTTTAACCTTGTGAACACTTTGTAAGGTGCAATGCTGACAAACTTAGGTGGCTTTTTTCAGTCCCAACACTTCAGCTGTTTGTTTGGTTTTTTGTAAACCTCCTGATATAGGCTGAAGTAAAAATTTACTTGTGTGATTCAAGTTTGGCAGTGAAATCTTTACAAGAATATTTGGTACCTGGTGGAAGAAATAGATGGGAAGGTTTTAAAACAAAATATTCCAAACTTCTGAAAAAAAAAAAGCACATTAAGAGTTGCTATATGTTGCTGAAGAATAAGTTAATAAAGAAAGAGAAGAAAGTTATTTCTAATTCATTTTCTTTCTGTAGGTAGACAGTGGACTATTTTAGACAAGATCCAAAATCTGCAATAAGTGCTGACTTAATGAAAAAGTCACAAAAATAAGTACATGATTCAAGGATGCTTTAAAAATTTTATTTTATGATTCACAGTCTAATATGTTAATGTGAAGTTTTTTAATATTAAGGAACATTTAATACACGGATTCATATAAATATGTACTTGGTGTATTTTGCATGCTGGCAAAAGTGTGGTACATAAGGATCTCTATTCTGAATCTTTAAATTAGCTGCTACTTGGCATACTCATTCTATTTGATCTAATGTCTTTACATGAACTATTAATAGCACTGAGTTTAATCTGACATAAAAATTTAAATATTCTACTGTTTATTATCATGCAGGGATGATTTTAAGCATTGTTTTTGCTTTCCTATGGTATCTTCACTGCCAGGAGTTCTAGTCCTGTAAAACTATTAGTATAAAACTAAATTTCTGTAATTGACTGTACTGTCAAATACTAATGTGAAGATCAATGGGGAAAGACTTTGGTTTCCACATTCTTGTTTCCACAGATTTACTTAACAGTTGCTATGCTACAGTGTTACAGTACACTTTCCGCTCTGCAATGAGAGTGCCTGTGCAGGTGGACTGCACCTCTCAGCTACCTAGATTTCAAAACAGCTCAGTTAAATTGCAGTGCCCTGTTTACACTGGGTGTTAGTCTGGCAGGGTCTGAACCTCTGGGTTCTGTTTTGTCAACTCCCAGAAGGAAGACGGGGCAATGTCTGCAGAAGAATCACGGTGCTGCTTACTCTACACCAAACTTCTTTTTTGAGAGACCTCACTAATCTACCAAGCTGAGCACTTTTTCTCTTTGTGTGTTATTACCTGAAAGTATTTGAGGATCTATCCCAAAGTGACGCTTTGCCCTGCCACCTCCCGTGGGAGCCCTTGTGGAGGCAGGTTTATTATACATGCTCAGAGGGAGGAGGCTGTTGCTTCATATTTTCCAGTTCTTAGCTTATAGATGAGCTAGGCTGGAGATCACTGTTGTCAGATCAGTTGTTTATTTTTTTATAGTATTTTCTAGGTTCTTAACTATTCTTGAAAATTTCCACATACCTTATTGGACCTTAATCTCTGCTGAGAATTAATATTTTGTGTGGAAATTAGGGTTTGTCCAGTGCCACACTGTGACAAGGATAAGGACTTGGGATAAGTATTTCTGTGATTTTTCTTCTCAGCAGGCAGTACTCTTTTTTTTTTTTTTTAATGGAGCACTGTGTTTAACATCTACTGCATTGATTGTTTCTCCTTTGATAATTTCGTAGTATTACTGTGAATCAGAGTTTAAGCAGCTACTTGAACACCCAGGAAACCCAATTTGACCATTAAAGGTTTGAAACTTGAGTAAAAACTAAACTGTAGTTTCATATGACTGCACAGTAGATGGACAGTTTCCTGGTATTAACCTCTGTTGGTCTTTATACTAAACATTTTTTTTGTTCTCAAGGAAAATTTATGCAAATAGGTTAAAATGTTGACTTTTTAAAGTAAACTGGTTTGGATATAAAGAGAAAGAAATACAGAGCCATAATTTACCAGTGTATTCTTTCAAGTTTAATGAGAATAATCTAGTTTACCTGCTGGCTACATTAAACCCTTCCTTCCAGTCATCCTGACTGCTTGTGCTGTCTTAGTAGGGTAAGATGATGAGGGCCACTGGCTGAATTTCTTCCTGGTCTTTTGCAGGCACACTGTGGTTTGGATGTTTTTTGTGTAGCAGATTAAAAACTACTAATAGTAGTGGGCAATGAACCTTATACTTTTTTTTTCCCTGCACATGTGTTTTCTTCAAAATACAGACTTTCAATGTAACCTTTTAGAGGTAAACCTAAATGATCTACTGATATGTTTAGTGATGTATGTTTTTTGAAAGTATTTTAGCTGTGAAACTGATTTTAAAGCTTATTTGTTAGATGTAATTATATGACAAACGCCACTCAGAATTGCATTTAAAGGAATGTGCAATTTACAGTTTTGGTCTTTTGAACACTGTGGACCTACATTCTCCACAGTAATGTTCATGTTCTTCTTGACAGTGCTAGGCTATGCGTAAAACCAGTATCCTTTTAGACCATGATTGCCTCCCTCATGGACATAACTTGAGTTCACAATGCCTGTATATAGGCTCAGATGGAGACATATGACAGTCACGACAGCATACCACGACTAAAAAGCCCGTATTACTGGAGAAAGAAATGTTTGTCTGAATTTCATATAGCCTTTAGTTTGGATCAGACTTCTGTTTTCTTTGAGTTCATAACATTCAAACCAGTTGCAAATAGCTGGCTACTTTTCCTCATGATACCCTGTCACATATTTCACTCCTTACTGGGTGAGTTGCTCAGCCCCAGTGCAGCATAGATCTAGTGAGTAATGCATTCTTAGGTTGCAGTGTTCATATATTTGGCAAATAAGGCATTTTGGCTTGTATTTTTCACAAATTTATCCTGTATAATTTACAAATACAAAGGGAATTTAGTACTCTGTAGTCTCCATACAATCAGCAGAAATTTAGGCAGTGAATCATTACCAGTGTGTCTTAATTAAGAGAGAGGAACATTAGAGAGACTTCTTTAAACATTTTTTTTGAGAGCTCATGTTGGTTTTATAAAAATGTGTAAGATGGAAAGCAAATCAAGTTGAAAAAATACGCGGAGAACGACTTAAGAACTTGCCTGTAGTCGTAAATAGAGGAAAAAATAAATTACTGTAAGATCTGTGCTGTTACATGGAGTAATTGTGTTGATTTCTATTGCAGTGAGGAGGACATGTATCGTGATGCAGAAGAAATAGAGAGAGAAAAAATACTACGTTATGAGAAAAGCATTTCAGGTAGGTTCGAACTTTGTTTCATACACAATATTATGATTCATTGTAGTACCAGTTAGTCATGATCTGACACCCTTGTTTCCAAGGATTTCTGTTCACAGAGGTCTCAGTGTGCAATAGAAGCTACTTATAATGATTGAGTACATTGGGCAGTTTAATTCAGAAAAAGATAAATTTTATGTAAAAGTAGTTGCTCTTAGTATATTTTTTCACATGTTTCTCTAGTTGCTTAACAAGAGAATGTGAATCCTTTGGAAAGCAGTCATATAGCCTATGTTAAGACTGTTCTTGAAAATTACCCATTTGTAGTCATTGTAGCAGCATCTGTTGCTGGGATTCCTTTATAACCTCACTACTGTCTGTTTTGGAATGAAGGCTGCTGGGATTTCAAGAAAAAACTGGATTTCTTCTTTCTGCTGTTGTTTCTGGCTTATTCACAAGGGTCCATCATCCTTTTTGTTTATAGGCCAGCTGCTGAAAGATGAAGAGAAATTTTCACTCAGCATTGTTCTGATTGCTAAGAAAATAAAGAGTACTAACTCCTGCGCTTTGCCAATTCGTATTTTTCAGAAGAGAGAAGCAGAATGTTGTCTGTTTTATTGGAATACGTCATTGGTTTTGTTCACTTTTTATTTTCAGAGCAAGCTGTTTGGCTTTTTCCCCCTCTAATACTAATAACTACTTAGTAGCTGTAGGTTGTGCTGCCAGTCTCCTGTGGCACCGATGTTAAAGTGATAGCGTATTTAGAAATTCAGTGCTCTGTGTTGTTCTGTTTCACAGTTCTCAGTATAATGTTACGTATAATATTTTGACAGAATATAGACTTAGCATTGCACCCGAAATGGACATAATGGAGTATTGCAGAAAAGAATGGAGAGGAAATACTCCAGTAGCAAAAAGGATGAGAAAGGTATCTGTTCCCTTTTTGTTGAATTTTGTTATTCCTTTTGTTTTCATTTGTATGTTTAGTGGGTGATTTCCTGTGGGAGCAATCTTTAAAACAGGAAATACAATAGCAATGTTTTCCAGTGGGGAGCTTTAATGAACAGGCTCAGTTTTTCTTAAATTTTCTTGAATTTTTTTTGGTAGGTTTTGGATTAGTTTTCTTGTTTTAATCTTGAGCTAGAATGGCAGAAAATAAAGCATAAGGTTGGTTTGGTGTGTTTTTGTTGTTTTGGCTTTTTTCCCAACACAATTTGAAAATTCAGTGCTATGCATGAGTAAACCTAAAAAATACTTTCCATAAATCAAAAGATCCATTTGTCACCTTCAAGAGAGTAGTAAGAGAAATACAGACGTGCAAGGCATTGGATCTTGCTAGGTCAGCTGAAGAGACGTGCTGAGCTTCAGAAGCCATGTTTCAACATCGCTGCTTTTGTTAAAAGTGTACGAATGGAAACAGCAGGGAGGAGACAGATGTGCTGAGGCTTGTGTCAAGATATTTCAGCATAAACGCAAATTTTACCTGAGGCAAAAAGAAACTGCATGTGACACATATTGGGTAAAGGGAATAAATTACTACTGAAACTTTTTGTAAGCATGATATATTTTTAGATTTATAATATTGTCGGTATGTTCGTGTATTTGATTTTTTTTTTTAAACTTCAGTGGCTTAGCTACCCACATGTCAATGATATTTGTGCTGTCATCAAATAAATGGCACAGTTTAAATAATCTACTTAGATTCCTTTGGTTTCTTGTTTGTTATTTAGCAGAAATAAGGAAGCTTTTTTTGAAGCATAATTTGTGACATAAAAGTATTTGAACTTCCAAAATGGTAGTGGATCAAACTTTTTTTATATAGCATTAGCATTTGGATGCTAATATTCCAGTACCTTTTATTATACCAGTGCATGACCTTAAATATTTTATTAATGCTCCTGTGTTATTTGGATTTTGTGTTTTTCTAGGGATATGAAGCAGTTGCTCAGAAGTTTGCATCTATAAGGAGAGTACGAGGTGATAACTATTGTGCTCTCAGAGCAACTCTGTTTCAGGCACTAAGCCAAGCTACCCAGCTCCCAAGCTGGCTGCAGAGTGAGGATTTTACTATGGTACGTGTCAGACTCTGATCCTCTGACAGTAATGTTGGTTCTAACCTACTGCATAATTTTGTGATCTCATTTCTCTATTATGCTATATGCTCACTTCTCAATATCCCTTGAGTTCAGAAGTGGTAATGTTCAATTTTCTTGTCAGCTTAAAGGCATTATTGGAATTGAATCCAGGTCCCCTTAGTTTCCAGTTTGTAGTGTATAAATGGTACTGTAATTCTGACTGTAATGTAAGTTGTCTGTCTTCATCATGCCCTCTTGGCTTCTTCTTAATGCAGGTAATACAGCAGTAAGAGGTTTCCTGTAAGACAGCCGGTAGTAACAAAAGATATAGACAGCCTATTTTAAACGCATTTAAAAACAAACAGAAAACTGAACCAAAACCCCACCAGCCAAAAAACCCCAAACTTTAGCTTTTAAAAACTGTCATTTGTATTTTTGTGGGCCATATCTGGTTTTTCCAGAAAGTGGATTAAGGGATTGGATGCTGCAGGCTTTTCAGAATGTATGTATTCCCTGTGTCTTAAATACTACTTAAAGCAAGTGTGTAAGAGCAACCTGATACAAGAAACAGTCCTTATGAAGCATTGATAGATCAACAAAGCAAGGTGTCTTACTAAGAGTAGAAGAAAAATATTTCAGAAATTGTCTTGCATCAACAAAGTCCATTTGGTGCCATCAGTGAACATGGAAGCAGCCTGTAAGGGGCTGCCTACATGGAAGTGGCCCACTTTAGGAGACCAAGCTTCCAGCTGTCCAGCTTGCTGCTGGAAGTGGAAATGCTGGATGTCTGATGCAGACTCTGTGTTGTAGGCAGGCAGTCCAGGCAGAATCATGCTGCTCTTACCGTCTTCTTGTATAACTTCAGTGCCATCTTAAAATTTCTCATTGTGATCACTATTGTTGTTAAGTAAACTATTGCTGACGCGTTTTTGTAATTGCTGATAGAAGTATTTCTGTGAAATCTTTCGTACTGCATCAGTAGCTCCTAAAAAGGTTTCCTTTTTATAAAAAACATTCTCCCGGCTGACAACTGTCTCCACATTGTCAAACTAGAGAAGATAGTTTCCCAATGCTCCTTCAACAAATCTGCAAACTTTTAAAAATGGAGTACTTAGGTAAATGTCATCTTAAAACTGCTATTTTTCCTACTGATTTACAGAGGAAAATGTCCTATCATCGTAATTAACATTTTTTTAAAAAGGTGTACTGTAAATAAAGTTAAATAAATTTTATTTAATAAAACACACTCATTAAAATGACAAACTGTTAATGCACTGAAGCATAGGGCATGTAAGAAAATGTGGTGACAGCAAGCAGCGCAATTTCAACCAAGTGTTATTTGAAAAAAAAAAAAGGGAAACCTATGTTTGCGTGCATGTCTAGTTGCAGAGTTTACTGCCATATAACCCTTGACTATTTAGTTCTATATGTCAAATTAGCATAGGGTGCCATGCTGGAGTGGTGGGAAGGCCCTTAAAGAGAAATGTAAAAGCTCTTAATTGTACAGGCAGAGCTTGTGAGCAGTAAAAGAGCCAGTTCTGAGGCTGAAGTATGATCTGATGCATCCACTAATCCTCAGATTGTTTTCTTTATCAGAAAACCAGTGTTTTAGTGATGCTCTCTGAGAAGAAAACACAGTTTGTGCGTTCTGGACTAAGTAGTTTGCGCTCCATGAAGACTTTTTTGGCTTAACTGGTGGATGTCATCACATCTTAAACCTTCTCTTGTGTTGTTTCAGGGATGCTTTTCAAACACAGTCACTGTCATCTGCTGCTGGAAGGGTTTTCTTTAATTAAAAAAAAACCACACAAAAAACCCACAATAAAAACCTTTACTAAAGGTGATTAGTTTTGCCAGGGCTTAAGTATTGGTTAAATCAGGAAGTATTAATAGACCAGCATTCTAGAGAGCCAGTTGTGTTCAATTGTGGTCATGTTAATAGAACATCTGTTCAGAAGATCATATGCGAGATCATTTTTTTTTTTCACAGAATCACAGCATATCTGGAGTTGGAAGGGACCTCAAAAGATCATCCAGTCCAACCCCCCTGCCAGAGCAGGATCACCTAGCCTAGGTCACACAGGAACATGTCCAGATGGGTTTTGAATGTCTCTAAAGAAGGAGACTCCACAACCTCTCTGGGCAGCCTGTGCCAGTGCTCTGTCACCCTTACAGTAAAAAAGTTTTTCCTCATACTCAGATTGAACCTCCTATGCTCCAGCTTGCTCCCATTGCCCCTTGTCCTGTCATTGGCTGTCACTGAGAAGAGCCTGGCTCCTTCCTCCTGACTCTTGCCCTTTACAAATTTATGAACATGAATGAGGTCACTCCTCAGTCTCCTCCAAGCTAAAGAGACCCAGCTCCCTCAGCCACTCCTCATAAGGGAGATGGTGCAAAATAAGGTGCAAAAATATTAAAAAAATAATAAATTCCATAAAATAATAATGTGCAAGGGGGTGGCTTTTCCTTTTAAGGTTTTTGACTTGAGTTGTCTTCTCTTCTATCTACTTCCAGCTTCCTGCAAACTTGCTAAGCAAATATGACTGGATCAAGCAGTGGCAGCTGAAACAGAAACTGGGCAGGAAGATGGGAGAAATAAGTGATGAAATTAAAGAATATTTAATGCTTCTAAAGAAAAAGGTTGGAAAAGTATTTGATTATTCTTGGTCATTTGCAAATAAGAAAAATGACAACGATTTTTGACTGTGGTGAATTTAGCATAAGGATAATTTCACTAGTGAAAAAGTCACTGTTCTAAATGTATGCCACAAAAAAAAAAATCACAGAAATTGCCTGTTGAGATCTGTGGGAGTTTTCTGCTCTTCCACTGATTCCATGAGACTGATGCTGGAATTAATTTGTAAGTAGCTCTGCAGAAAACTATTAGAAAGATTTCAATGAAGAAATTAATGTAATAGAGTAACTTTTTGCCTCTTATTTCTTGTATTTATTTGAAGGAATGAGGTATAGTATGGATAAATGCTGTTGCTATCTTAAACAGGTCATGAAAATGAAAAAAAACTGAAATAACCAAATAACCAAAACCAGAAAGCAAGCAAATAACTTCATAGGAGTAGTCTTTCATGTTTGTATTGAATGTTAAAATAACAGGAAAATGGCTGTGCCCTTTTGGTGTTTGTAGTATATTACTTGGTCCTATCTTCCCCTGGCTTGAAATTCTGGAACCTATTTATAAACTCTGTAGTTGTTCCTGTCTTACTGTCTAAGAGTATTTTAAAGGGTGCATTCAAGCAGTTCAAGGGTGAGGATGAAATATGCATTCTGAGAAACTGAAATGTAAAGATTATGAAGGGTGTAGGATTTATGATACAGGAAATAAAAAGGTTACTTTCTTACTGCTTATTTCCCCATGACTATATTTGTTTTGCCACCTTGGAACAATTTCCAATCTCCCCTTCTTTTGCTTTGCTTAAAGACTAGTTTAAGCAAAATCTGCCTAATTCAACTTGACCTTGGTGGGACTACAGCTATGGAAATGTTCTTGAGTGTTTGTAAAAAGGCACAGAGCCCTTCATGAAATCAAATTCTCAGTGCCTATGTTGATCACCTGACAGTTCACAAGTGGCTTTTTACAGCTCTTGCATGATGATGGCTATTGATACATGTTGTGTGTGTTATTTTTTGTAGTGGAAGAATATAAGTGAAATCAAGGGTGCTATGGAGAAACAAGAAGCTTGTGATAAACTGTTTAAAAATGAAGAGGAGGAGTATAGTCTTTATGAAGCACTGAAATTTTTGATGCTTAACACGGCCATTGAATTATACAATGATGATAAAAATGGAAGAAGAGTTCCTGTCTTCTCATGGTTACTGTTTGCACGGGATACGTCGAGCAACCCTTGTCAGTTAATGCATAATCACTTGAATCATATTGGTCACAGTGGAGGCCTTGAACAGGTAAGGAGAGATTGTTCTTGTAGTGTTATTTTCCTGTTTTGGAGATTTTGGTTTCAAGTGGTTTAAGAAATGACCCAGCTTTTGTTGATCTGGCTAAATCTAATGGTGTAGTGTCTGGTCTTTCACTGGGAAAAATGTAGTAGAAATGCTTGCTTGTAGTAAGAGTCTGTAAGGGCTTTGATTGCTTTGTTCTTTAATTTTTTATTTTTTGTCTGGCAGCTGACACTTCTGTCTGCTTTGTATTTGGTTAGAGAGTTCAGAGTACCCTCTGAAAGGGAAAGGATCACTGCCTGAAACCTGTTCTTGTCTGGTTTAGTGACTTAATGGGATGAATAGTGACATTCCTGAATGTCTTTCCTACCTGTTTGTGGCAGGGCAGTAGGGAAGTGACACTCTGTGTAAAGCAGCTCTTCTTTAGGACTAATACTCTACCACTGTTGGGTCTGGAGAGCTCCATGCTAAAGGTGTTGCATCTTAGAGGTATTTGTGCTGCAAGTAAAGAATGGCTTGAATGATTGAACTAGAGATCAATATGCATTCTCATTGGCTTACAATTTTTTTCTTTGAAAAACTGCATCTGATAGGTATTAGTTGAGTATTTTTACGATAAATATCTTGTAAAAGGTACATTAAATGTTACACATCATATTTCTGCTTTTTTCCAATGTAGGTGGAAATGTTTCTCCTTGCTTACACCCTGCAGTATACCATCCAAGTGTACCGGCTGTATAAATACAGTACTGATGAATTCATCACGCTTTATCCCAATGACCCAGAGGAGGACTGGCCTGTGGTGACTCTCATAACTGAAGATGACAGACATTATAATATTCCAGTCAGAATGTGCCAAGAGACTATGCTGTAAACATGACATCTTTTTGACAGACAAACCTGTGCTGCTTATTGAGGTTTCCAGTGCTATTTTGAAACAGGATGGTTATTAAATCTGCGTTATTAAATCTACAAAATTTGAAATACATCTTCTAGAAGCTTACATCTGACCTAAATACCAAGTAGGCACTAGCTTAAAAGAGTAGAAGTGTTGAGAGTGTGGCTTCTGTTGCCCATTTGAAAACAAGGACACTGCTACAATTGGTTTTTTGAAGGGCTTACTCTGAATAGGAATGCAAAAACTATAGATTTACTTTTTTTAAGAAGACAAGTGAGGCTTTGGTAAGACATGGGCTGACCCGCTCCCTGAAATAGTGACATACTGATGAATTGAAAAATTTCTGGAAAAGTAAGCTGGCAGTGTCCTCACTTGTATTTGTAATGCTGCTGCTTGGAAGCAATTTGTACGGATCTGGGGTCTCAAGAAGCAGTAGAATTCTTTTGCAGTTGGAATTTAATGCCTGTCATGGTTTATGCTATAAGAGAGATGTTATTTGAAGTTTGCTAATGCTTAAAGTGAAAGTCTGCCCTACAGAGGATTCCTGGGACAAGAGAGTAAATGTTGATTTAAATGAAAGGCACAAATCACTTGGCTTCTCTTAGGAGGCCTTCCTCTAGAAAAGGAATAAGATGATAACAAGTGTTTTGTTCAGATATTCTGGAGGAAATGACATGCAAAACTTAATTTTCATGGTTTGTTCTACTTAAAATTAATTTGTTAACTTTTATTTTATTGTGAAAGATAATTACACAACTAGCATGTGTGTTCAACATGTTCTAAAATGTGGTTTAGACACATCTTATGAGGCATGCCTGTGCTCAGTGTTACATTTATCACTTTGCCTTTGAACAACTAGTTTGATCTGTTACTGAGCTACAAGGGAATATAAATAAACCAATTCATTTGGCAGTATTTTGTTTCTTGTTTTAAGCCCTGTTTTCTCTCTAGCTTTATATTTTTTGAAATCCTTGCTCAAGTTATTTCTTGGAAGCTGTAAAACAAGTATTTAATTGGCTTACTGCTTGCATGTGGACAGCAAAAAAAAATTATTTCCTTAAGTTACTATTATCCAGCGAACGCTGAAGGGGAGAGAAGAATAAATTAGCTTTTGTAACTCACTGACCTCTGGTTAAAAAGTTGTTGTTATGATTTAAATAACTGAAAGAGTCAATAAATTAAATGAACCGGAAGTGAGGGATGGAAAAGGAAGAGGAATAGAGGTCAAATCAATTCTGCCCCCCACCCTGATGTCCATGTGGATAAATTTATAGTAGCTGCTGTACTTCAAGATCAACACACTAAAGAAAGCAGATGTTTTACTCAACACCTGGCATACTTTGTTTGGTGCAGTCCAGATTTTTAATACTGTAATATACTCCTAGAAGTTAGCAGAGACTAAGAAAGTTCACTCCAACTGCTGTAGTTAGCGTGCTTTTTGTGCAAAAATTATTGCATCCACTTTAGGCCCATCTTTTATCCCTCCCTTATTGAGAAATAGAAAGGAAATGTTATTAATTCCACAGAGTTAGAAGTGAAATAGGGAAGGCTTAGCATGGTAGAGGCCTCTCAAGGAAGGTGGCTCTCTAGTCCCTTTTCCCCAGAGCATTCATTTTTTGCATGGGTGCTGATGAGTTGCTCTTATTTCTGTTCATGAATTCTATTTGAGTTGGTGGGATGCAAAAAAATCACCCTGAGATGTACTGAGACACTGAAGAACCAGCCAGTACTGACTGAAAACTGCTTTAGCAGGGCTGTCAAGTGAATACTGGGGTATGCTGAGGAAGGAGTGGCACAAAGAACATGATCGCTGGCTGTTTCCTCCAGAGGTTTGTTTGCCCAATTTGCCACTTTTTGGAATTGTGGGGTTTGGGGTTGTCTTTTGAGACACCTGCCCACCAGGTCTTTGAGGTGATGTTTTTCCTTTGGGCTATAGCACCAGAGAGCTGCTGCGGGGATGGGAGCAGGTAGCATCAAGTCCAACCGTTAACTGTTCTACCATGCCCACTTCTAAACCATGTCCCTGAGCACCATATCTAGATGGCTTTTAAACGCATCCAAGGATGACGATTCCACCCCTTCCCTGGGCAGCCTCTTCCAGTCTTTGATAACCCTTTCAGTGTAGAAGTTTTTCCTAATGTCTAACCTAAACCTCCCCTGGTGAAACTTGAGGCCATTTCCTCTTGTCCTATTGGTTGTAACTTGTCAGAAGAGACCCACACCTATCTCTCTACAACCTCCTTTCAGGCAGTTGTAGGGAGTGATAAGGTCTCCCCTCAGCTGCCTCTTCTTCAGATTAAACAACCCCAAGTGTCTCAGCTGCTCCTCATAAGACTTACTCTCAAGACCCTTCATTTGCTTTTCAAATGTCAAGCTTTGTCTCACGGAAAAAACAACGTTTTTAATCAAAAAACCCTAAACCTCTCCATTTACAGAAATTACCATCTAGGATGAATGTGGCAGGTACTTTTTAAAAAATTATTTCCTCTCTCTGCAAGTATTCGGAGCTCAGTGGCACAGGTCAGAATTTAGATGCTGTTCTTTTTGGATCTGTGGTGCACCCACCCATCTTTTATTTAAAACAAACAAAAGTTCACTTCCAGCCGCCGCTGCGTGCTCCTGGCACTCGGGGGCCACTGCTGAGCCCCTGGAAGCTGCGGAGCTGCCCCTCTGCAGGAGCGAAGCCAGGCCCAGGGCGACGGCGGGGGCTGCCGGCAGGGGCCGCTGTGGGCGCGGCAGAGCGCGGCCCCGACTCGCCCCGACTGCGGCTGGGGGCACCTGCAGGCGCTGTGAAATGAAGCGGTAACATACCTGAGATTTTTAAAATATCTTCAATTTTTTTATCTTACTGAATATCAAACAGTGAATCTGTTTCTATCTTGAATAAGAATTTTCTAGTAGGGATTGGAATTCATAGCAAGTCCTCTGGTTTCTGAAGTATTTGGATTTGTTTATGTATTCATCCGAACCTTCAGGTGATGTACTGATGCACCTGAGCCATCACTGCCAGCGTAACTTCTGTAAGAACTAGAGGCTCAGCTGAGCCGTGCTGTGTGTATCCTGAGCTGTGTTTCTAGGCTAGCTTACTCTCTTTACACAAACATGAGACTATATAGTGTCAAGAATAATGTATGGTGAGAAGTGGTGAGCTTGGTTTCTCACCTTGTCCAAGAGCAAATCAAATAACTTTAAAAATGTATAAACCTGTTAGTTTTCAAGCATATTTGCAGATGCACAGAGCACATTCTGTTTTACTGTCCTTTATTACAGAGGGCAAAAACCGAGTTCTATGAAGATTTTAAGTGCCTAGAAGAACAGAAAAAACATGATGATAATCTTCTATTACTGCATATACTGTTGCTCCTTAATTGCTGAAAAAAGAAATCTCTGGCTGAGAGGAATGTATTCAGTGTGGAACACTGCATCTGTAGACCTGTGAATGTAACTATAACAGGCTATTTCTTTGGAGGTGAAGCATTTGCTGGACTACTGCTCTCTTCCTGTTTCTGAATGTTGTCTGCATCATAAGATTCTTTTTTTCCATGAAAGGTTAAGAGAAATAATTATATTGAACAAGGAGGATTTGTACTCTGCAAGTTTATGGGCCATGAGAAAACTGCAGGCGTTTCGCTCAAACTCTTCCTAAAGCCCCTTTTGAGTGGATTTAAAAAACCCCAACAACTATTGTGTAACATTTTGGCTTTGTTACGCAGCAGAAGATCTGGGTGGTTTGCTCAAAGCATGGCTCTGCATTGCTGAAAGTGTGTACTTGGGTGACAGCCTGCTCCTTGCCACTTCTAGGCAGGTTCTTCTCTTGCTGCCAAAGTTTGGCTTCTGTGCCAGGGTGTAATGAACTGCACTGAGGGAGCCCTTGCATTTTGGAGAATTGTGTTATTTCAGCCAGCAAGCAGGAGTTAACAGCAGTTTCTGTTCTCTCACTTGAGGGTGTCTTTTGGATTTATATTGTTGAGGGGGGCAGAAGAATCAATAATAAAAGTTCTTCTCTTGGCCCATCGTTGAGCTGCTTGGATACGAGGGTGGAAAAGAAATAGAGAAGGGGATTTTTAGAACTAAAACAATGAGAAAACCCCAAACTTCAGGGAGTTAACAGTTTATTTCTCTCGCATTAGACAGCACCTGCGCAGTGGCAGGCCACGCTGTCTCCTGCTGTGTGCCTCAGACTCTCATCTTCCCTTCAGGCCTCCTAAGATTGTCCCCAGAAAACACCCAGCTGGAGCCTCACTGGCCTCCTGCCCCTCCTGCAGGTATTACCACAGGGGGCTGGCAGGCGCTGCTTAGGTACTAGCTCTTAGTACGTATTGTTAATGTTACTTTTAGACTGTCAAGTGGTTCCACGGTGTTCATTTACTGATGAGCCCTCTGTGGAGCTCTCTTCACTCAGCCATGCTGGGTTCTGTCTCATCAAACCATGCTACAAACAAAAAAACCCCTCTTTTAATTAAACAAAATAAATTAGTGTCTTTTTAAATGTGGTAAGTGATTAGAAACATTATTTTTTAAAAACAAGTAAAGTTGGAGCAATGCTTAAGGGCTGTTTAGAGCAAATCTGTGATGGCTTCCACAATCACCTGATTTGTAAGACACCCAGATGAAAGGGCCAGATGTTACTACATGCCCCCATCACCCACCCCACAGATCCTCCATTCTGACGTGTCTGCCTTCTCAGCAAGAAGATAGAAAACAGCAACATGGAAAATTCAAAGGAAATAATGACATGAAATTTCCTTTGAGGAGCGAGGATAAAAGGTGTAAGAGCTGCGGCTGTGAAGGTGGTCCTGTTGCACCACGGGGGCTGCATTGTCACCAGTGGGGCTTGCCACTGAAACACCTGGTTTTTCAAAGAAATGCTGCACTGGATGAGGTGTGAGTTAACTACTGGCTTGTGGTAGTTAAGGGGACCGGCAACAGAGCAATCCTTTTTGGCCCTAGGTTTGGGAGCACTGGCTCCAGCTGCCAGGAAAATGCTCCTCTGCTCATGAGATGTGGGAGGATGCCCCACCTTTTAGGTCACCTAGAGCAAGGAGGCTGACTTTTCACAGCTGCAGAGCAGCCTATGTGGAGAGTTA